TWGYWGCTRMKAWRMTAACTTACTTTTTCAGGTTCTTCTTTGTTCTAGGTCAACTGTTCTAATAGTGATGGTARCCTCTGTTGTTTTTGTGGTCCACTGTGATGATGCTCCTGTTTTACAAGCTGGTTTATTATTTGCTGCATCATCTGAGGCATCAGTTGATGGACAGGAAGAGCAGCTGTAATAGCATCACTGTTATTGTCAACGGCACCAGTGTCWCTGTCCTTGTTGCTAGCACCAGTGGCTGTGAATTTTGGAGAAGCTTTTTTATCCTTCTGGTTTCTGCCATCCTTGTTTGCACAACCTCTTGGTGGTCTGTTGCTGCCAGAGTATGAGAAGAAGATGAAGTGTTAACAGTGGCGCTGTTGTTCCCAACGTTGGGATCATCTGTTGTGACAGAAGCTTCCTTGTTGACTGTGACCTGCATGGTTGAAGGCCTTGTAGTACTCCTCTTGTTACTAGCTGGTGTTGGCTTGGTGATACCTTCATTAGTACTAGTAGTAGGTCTAGTGGTGGTATTCTTCTTGGGCTTCCTGCTGTAATCTGGCTTTGGGAGGGTTCTCACATCATTGCCATTTGCATTTTGACCAGTACTCTTCATGTTTGGTACAGAACGGTGGTTTTTTGACAAAGCAAAGTTTTATCATGTTTGTGCACAAAAAATCTGTTTAGTTTTGTAGGACGTCGTGTTTTTTCTGGTGCGCTGCTACACATTTTGACTCAATTAATTCAATGCAATTTACATGAAGGCTATCAACTGGATGCAGGAGATAGCTAGATTATCAATGGGCAGAAGGAGGTGTCCTTGATCAGCATAACTCTGCTGTCTGTGAACTGGATGGTGTCAGAGAAGGAAGAGTCATTGTTAGATTTTATGTTTACATTTGGAAGGAAGCAATGTGGAGGGGTGTKCGGTTGGCCATACAGGATTCCATCAAATCCTTCTTCTGTTGATCCAAGCCAACAACAAAGAGAATGTSTTAAATCAAAACTTATCCCCAAGACAACAGCAAAGAGAATCTGTTGCACCAAGACCGATTGCCAKGAACAATTAGTGCACTGAGACCAATGTCTCCACCAAGATGAATCACAGCAGCAACAAAACACTGCAAGCCAAGCAACTGCCCCAAGCAACATGAATACAAGACAACATGAATACAACACAACATGAATACAAAACAACAAGTTGTTTCAAGCCAAGCAATCCAAATCATCCCAAGCACAATGAATTGTTGCAAGCCAACCAATCCAAATTTCCAAGCCAAAAATTGTCACATCATTGCACAACAGATGAATCCCATGAACTGGTGGTAAATTGAGCAAGCACCACTCATATAGTTCTGGCTCCAAATAGAAGACATCTTCTGGATCAATGTGGGCTGTTAATTCCTTGAAATTCACAACTGTTCCTTTATTCTGTTTTTATATTTTCTTTTCCTTATCCCCRACAGTGCACGGATCCATTCTGGGCACTCTAGAGAAACAATCGGCAAGAACATTCTTCTTGCCAGGAATGTATTTCCATTCTATATCAAAGCCTTCAAGGGACAGTTTCAATCAAAGAACTCTGGACTGTGAGAGTGTCCGGAAGATAAGGTTCTTATGATCAGTGTAGATTTAGATTTTGCCCCCGTRTAGCATATTCCGATACTCCTTGAGGCAAAGGATTACTGCTAACAGTTCCTTTTCCATCGTGGTGTAATTCCTTTGGGTCTTGTTTAGCTT